GTGCAGGTCTTATGCACACCTGCACAGAAGAGGTCACAAAAGCCTCTCATGCAGACTACTGTGCATGCTGACAGCAAGTGTACATGTGACAGAATGCATTTATTATCATAATGGAGAACAGTTGCTAGGGCAATTAGATTTAGGGTTCTAATATTCAAGCACACCTGCGCTGGTGCATCCACACCTGGAAGCATAGGGTGCTTTAAATTAAACCCTGTATCATAGGGTGCATGCTCTGGATTGCTGATTCAGTTTTTGCCACATGTGCGGTGGTGCATTTATACAGAAGTTTTAGTTCTCTGGCGTCCTTTTTCTGTTACACCGGTGTCGCTGCATACATACGCACATGTGAAGGTGCGCATCTTTGCCGAAGAAGCAGAAAAAGCTGCTCCTTTTAGGAACGGCTTTTCACGGCATACGATGGCTAGAGGGTGCTTTCCTGCGGCTTTTAGCCATGCGTCGTCTAAATACCATGCCTTCAAGTCAGCTTCAAAGCACCTCTTTTTGCCCGTCTGCATAGCCCCAAAATCAAGATTTGGTTTTTTTAATTTTTAAAAAGTATTTTCGAGCTGTGCTTTTAGTGATACACCTACTTATCTTCTAGTTTGATCGAGGAGCTTGAAAAGATAGTACACTTCTTACTCTGGAAGGCTATCACATATATTACAGATCTTTGCTCATCTTTTATAGTTAGCTCTCCAGCAAATTTATCATTCATTGATACAGCTCTTTATTACACATGAAGGTGTTGCTCTTTGCTCTCCTAAATTTCTAAAAACTTTATAAGTAAATTCAGTTCAGTCTGACATAAATTGCTATCCTGAATGTCCTTGATACTTCTTAAACCAGAGGTGAGAATTATGTGCCCCTGTAGATGCTTTTGGAAGGCAGATCCCAGCATCCTTACCCAGCTTAGGGGGGTTGCAGACTGCCAGAAATAGTGCAAATTGAGTCCACTTTTAGGGTTAGGGTTAGTGCTAGGGAATCATGGGAATTGTTTTTTTTTCTGAGACATTGAGCCTTCTCTGTCAGAGAGCTCTGGTGCCACAATAAAATACAGTTCCCATGATTCCCTAGCACTAACCCTAACCCTAAAAGTGGACTCAATTTGCACTCAGTGTTAAAGATTGTTGGGAATTTCAATACATGTTGAGTCTCCCTTATCCAAACTTTTTGGGACCAGAAGTATTTTGGATTTTGGATTTTTTTCTGATGTTGGAATACTTGCATATACATAATGAAATATCTTGGAGATCAGACATATGCCTACACACAGTATTCATTTATGTTTCATGTACACCTTATATACATATACTGAAGGTAATTTTAAGCACACTATTTTAAAATAATGTTGTGCATGAAGCAAAATTTGTGTACATTGAACGATCAGAAAGTAAAGGTGTTACTATCTCAGCTATCAATGTAGACTGTTTTGGATTTTGGAATATTCAGATTTTGGAGTATTTCGGATTTCAAACATCTGGGTGAGGGATACTTGATGTATACAACAACATCCCCTTCATCTTCCATGAATTTTCTGGATACCTTTGCATGATCTGGACTGACTTGCCTTCCCTATTGCTACTTTCACTATGATAATTTGTATCTCTGGGCATTTACAGGTAGTAGATAATAGAATGGGATTGTGGTGGTGGTGGTGGTAAGATACATTTTGAGGTAGAATTTTTATATATTACTGGGTCATTTCAGTGTTTTCTCAAGATACAAACATTTCAGATAAAATTGCCATTGGCAAACATCAAACAGCATCTTTTATGTTATTTAACTTTGCAATAGCAAAGTGCTGCTTGTTGGCTGTTTTTTGTTCTTAACTGCATTGAGGTTGACGGCAACCTATGTTGACCCAATGGATGAGAGACCTCGAAATCACTGTATCCTTAAATGCCCTGCTCAGCTGTTGCAGATTGATTGACATGGCTTCTCTGATTGAATCTATTCATCTGGAATGTGGTCTTCTTCTTTTCCACTAACTGATTAATAATGTATGGTATTCGACTCTTCAAGAGCAGGATAGTTGCCTCCCATTATTGTGCGGGTCATACACTCGATGCGGTGTTCTGTACCGAACAGGCAT